GGGCGCCGCACCCTGTCACACACAGAGCAGGGCCGATCAGGGGGTTAGGGCGCCGCACCCTGTCACACACAGAGCCGCAGGGCGATCAGGGGGTTGGGGAGCTCCCCCCTATCAGGCACAGAGCAGGGCAGATAGGGAGGTTGTGGCCCCGCCCCCTGTCACACACAGAGCCCCAGGGCGATCAGGGGGTTTGGTCGTAGCCCCCTGTCACGCTGATCCCGGTGCTGGGAGGCATATTACCCTTTTACTATATAGGATATATATAAAAGGCTAATATGCTAAGTGTCCAACCATCCGACTGGTCGCTATGATGCACACTGACCACCAGGGGGCAGATGCTCAACACAGGAGCTGCTGAGCTGCAGTGACTTGGCAGTGGCAGTTCTTGGGTGATGCACCCAGAAACCAGAGAGGAGGGAGCCTGATTCCTCGTGGGGCTGTGCAATTCCACCTTTGGCTGTGGGTTATGTTGTTGCTGGAACACTGTTGACCCCAAATCTGGTTTACTGCACACTTGCGTTTGTGTTCCACACCCTGTACGACAGCAACTTTGCAGTTGGGGATGTTGGAGAGCCAGTTTCAGCCCGATCCCTACAGGCCAGGTTGAGGGACCCCACCTGCCAGAGGGACCGGGCTCCACAGACGCTGGGGAGAGACAGCAGGAGGTTGGCTCCAGGGCGTGTCCAGCCCATCTCACCCTGTCCCGCCCCACCAGCCACTTTCTAATTAATTTCAATGTGCACGAATCCGTGCACCAGGTCACTAGTCTTTAATAAAAATGATAGTAGTAGCAGCCATATATCAACCCTACTTGTGCCTGGGCTTATACCCTCTATTTCTCTGCCTAATCTCTGCAGGGTGAGGCTCAGAGAGGTGGAGGAACTCAGTCAAAGTCACAGGGCCAGTAAGTGGCAGCCTATCTGGCTCCCAAGTTTCTCTACTGTACTACACTTCCTGAGCTGTCTCCATTCCATCTTCTGCCTCAAAAGGTGGAGGTTCCACAGTTGGTTCTAACGTTTGAATGTGGCATCCAAATTTGATAAACATTGTTATAAAACAGTGATGGACCTTTGACTCCCCTGGAAAGAATTTTTAAATGCCAAGGTTGTGGGTTTGATTCCTGGTCAGGGCACATACAAGAATCAACCAATGAATGCAAAAATAAGTGGTACAACAAATAGCTCTCCTTCTTCTCACTCTAAAAAAAAAATCAATCAATCAATAAAAAATTTAAATATATGGTAGCACAGGGAAGTCTCTTGGTGTTGGGGGACCAACAAGGTGGAATCAGAAACTAAAGAGACCTCATCCCAAATCCCAGCTCTACCACTGTATAAAATGGAGATATTCTCCCCCCCCCCCCCCCCCCCCCCCCCCCCAAATGGGCCGCTGCTGGCCTCTAGTGGCCACTGGATAAATTGCACAGTGAGTTGGCCTGAAAATGGAGATGTGTGAGAAGCTTTTCTCCACTTCTGAATCTATCTGATGCTGGAGTTCTCAAGCTTGACAGATCCATAACTCCCTCTTCCATAAACTGTTATCGACACTCTGATTTCATAAACTTTGTATGTTAATGTCATTTTCATGGTTTTAGAAACCTGTAATTCCAGATTTTAATTTGCCTTTGACCCAATACTCAGGAGGGAAGAAGTGTGTATGTGTGTGTGTGACATTGTTTTTTGTTTTGTTTTGTTTTAGTTGTAGCCAGAGTATGGAGCCTATATAATTCCTCCTTTGGAAGGGGAAGTTGAGTATTATTTGTAGTCTATTTTATAAATGATTTGTAAAGTATTTGGAAAGGGATATGTTCTGTGGGGTAAAGTTTAAACCTGATGATAAAGCCAAACACTCACAGTCTTATATGGTTTGAGTATGTCTAAGCGGTGACTGTCCTTTCCTGGGACATAGGCTACCGTCAGATCTGCACCCGCACCTTTTTCAGCACTGGTGTCTTTGGCCCAGTATAAGTCTGTAATCTTCGTCGTCCATATCCATCCTCTTTGTCTCATTGATTCCCCCGTGTCTTTCTGCTCTGCATGTGGAGAACTTCTCAAATGTGCGACTTCACCCTTGTTTGAGTTTTCTGCAGTGTGGAATCCGCTCCTCTGCCTTCAGCGCAGATTTCATCTCTCACTGATTTTGGTTCTGTGTGTTCTGCATTTCAGCAGGCTGTATCATTTGAGGTTTTTCTTGTATTTTACTGAAAACTTAGAACAGACATTTCCTCACATTTTCCATAGCAATTGATTTTTACTGTCTTTTCTACTATCACCTTTAGAACTGGCAAGAGGAGCTCCTACCTGGGCCCTGTACTTTCCAGTCCCCCTCATACAAAATAATTAAATGTATCAAGGACCACAGACACCTCTGTCACTCAGGATCTGGCCCACAGCCCAGCACAGATTGACCTAACCAAACACCCACTCTCTTGACTGGGAGGTTCTGCTTCACATCTTACCTAAGTCTATGGGGGCAAAACTGCAACTGCCTCTGCAGGTTTAATGAAAGCTTAATGGGGCCCACTCTAGGTACTATTTGAAAGTGCAAAGAGGCTTTGAGTAGAAAAGTACTTAAGAGAAAAGACAAATTAATAAACTTGTCAGAGCTTTCCTCTCAGATAGCAATAGAAGTGAGTGCAATGAAATAGCATTTTCTAGTAATGCCGGGTGTGCAATTTCTTCTTGTTCTTGTGTTCCTGTTCGTGGTTCTGGAGGTACCTGTGAATTAATACAGTATTTGCCTCAGTCGTAAATGGAAGCTGAGGACATTTTTGCCATATTACATAAATCACATTACGCATCACTCTTAAATTTGTCTATATGTCTGCACTTTAGAGATAACATGATACTAATTATTTACACTGGTAACTAGATGGACATTGAATGCTAGAATTCTAAATTTTAATATTTTTGCATAAAAAGTTACTTAAGTTTTAAGTTAAAATTTTAATTAAATGTATAATTTAAATTTAAAGTTACTTAAAATTGAATTAAGCTTTCAAAGACACAGTCAATTTGCATGGTTAAGACAGAGTATTTCCAAGAGAGTGATGATGTCACAGAACTGGGGTTCCAGGAGGCAGGGGGTGGGGGATGGGGGTTGCCCAGCATTCCCACCTTCTTTAGAACAGGCAGTGCTGTGAGCTGGGCGGGGCTAGAGTATAGTTCATGAGGAAGAGGAGGCTCCTACCCAAACAGCTTTGTTCTACAGATTCTCACAGAAATTCCTGGGCCAGTTGGGACTGGAGTCAGAGAGGGGTAGGAGAGAGGTAAGCTTCAGAAGGGGAGGTAAGAATGCACCTGCCAGAACCACTGTCTTCCCTAAGGGGACCTCAAGAGTGGACTTCATTGCTTTCCAAGGCTCAGTGACACGCGTCTCTGAAGGAACCTGCTCAGTCAGGGCAGGGTAGGGTTGCATGAGACATACATACACTAAAAAAACTATTCGTAGTTTGTCTGAAATTCTCGTGTAACTGGATATCCTGTGATTTTTATCTGCTAAGTCTGGCCACTCTAGGGTGTGAGACAGAAACAAAAGAATCATTGCAAGCTCAGGATGGCATGGAGTGAGTCTTAGAAGACAGAACAAAAGATCTGTGAGGAGACAAGGCCATTAGGGTAGCCACCTTGTTCAAGCAGAAACTGCTTCATGTCTGACTCAGGGAGCTGGTGGAGAGAGAAACCAAGGCCCTTGCTCTCAGGAACATACACCTAGTTTAAGGGGAAAGATACACACATATACACACGCACATACACACACGCACACGCACACGCACAAACACCACTAGTGTCAAAAATAGCCCCGTTCTTTGTTTTCATGGCATTGACTGTTTTGAAGAATATAAGCCAGTTATTTTCTAGAAGTTCCCTCTGTTTGGCTTGTCTGATGTTTCCTTGGGATTAGATATAGGTTATTCATCCCTCGTCAGAATAGTACATAATAATTAAGAAGAGACGAAACAGCCAGGAGGGGAGCAGTGAGAGAGCGAGGACGTTTGGCTTCTCTTTCCAGATTCCTCAGACTCTCAGAGAGAAAGCCAGCAGGAAGTCTGTGAGACCCTAAGAACCGCAGGCCCTCAGCTAACCTTCTCCCCTGTGAGGATGACAAGGGCATTATTCATCTCCTTGTTCAGCTGCCTTATTGCCATAAACCAGGCCAGCCTCATCAACCGCTGTGACTTGGCCAAGCTGCTGCACCAGGAAGATTTGGATGGGTTTGAGGGCTACTCCGTGAGTGACTGTGAGTGCCATTTCCTCACCCCTCACCCCCATTTCTCCTGTCCTGGTCATCTCCTACTTGGCCATCTTTCTTTCTCTCTCTCATCTTTAAAAGCCAAGTTCAAAAAGCAGCCCCCTCCAAGACACCTTTCCCAACATTCCATATTCAACAATTATTTATCGAGTATGTGTTATATACCAGGAACTATTTTAGATGCTAGGGATATAAACAAAGCCACTTCTCTCATAATGTTCACATTCTGGGGAAGAGACAAGCAATTAACAAACACAAAAATATATAAAGTACTTCCTGGTGTTGACAGTGCTATGCAGAAAAATAAAGCAGGGGGCAGGTGATAGGTAACACTGTACTGGAAAGGGAAGTCAAGGAAGGCCTTTCTGAGGAGGTGACATTGAACGGTGCTGCATAAAGTAAAGGGCATGGTCACCCAAATGTCTGGGGAAGAACATTCCAGGCAGAGGGAACAGTCAATGCAAAGGCTTCATACTATTGCATGCTAGGGATATCTCCATTTTGCCCAGAATTTGTGCACACCAGTCCTACAACACTTTCATCTTTTAATTTATTTTGTGGTATTTGTAGGGCCATATCTTCATTCTTGTACTATAGGCCATTTGAAGGCGGCATCTGTATTTGGACCAACTAAGTGTCCCTTGCTGGGCTTTGCACAGTTCCTGGCACACAGTAGGTGATTATTAAGTGCTGGAAGCATGGCTGGAAAGATGAATTGTTAAACTGATGGGTGGGTTGATGGACCAAAGGATGGGAGGAGAAGCTAGGTATTTCTAGCCCACTAGCCCCATCTAGCCTCTTAGCCCTTGTTCCTTTCTTTTGAGTCCTCATTTCCCTTTCTCCTTCATCTCCCTTCTCCCTCAGCTTGGCCTCCTCTAGCATCCTCTTCTCTTTTTTCCTAAGGGCTGTGCCTAGCTTTTGTGGAAAGCCATTTCAATATGTCAAAGGTAAATGAATATGCAGATGGCAGCTCTGACTATGGCATCTTCCAGATCAACAGCCACTACTGGTGCAACGATTACCAGAGTCACTCCGAAAACACTTGCCACGTGGCATGTCAAGGTCTGGCCAGGCCCCGGGGCTGGGGGGGGAGAGGGGGAGGGGGAAAGAGATGACCAAGTTCTACTCACAACACTTCTCTTTCCACTTGCAGTCTGAAAGTGCCCCCAGAGGGATGGCTCAAGGAATCAGGGGCTTCCTTTACTGAGCAGGTTTGACTAGTGGCCATAATGCTCATCAGTTAGGAGATTCTTCTGTGTCCTCGAGCAGGGTCCAGAAGGGCTCTGCACAGCCTGCAGCAGCAGAGCAGCAGCCAACCTCTATTGAGAGCATGTTATGTACTTTACATGCATAGCTGATTTCATCCAACTTTCCATGCTGTGAAAACCAGTATTCCCACTTTACAGAAGAGCAAACTGAGGCTTATCGAATTAGTGGTGGCCAGACTGGTGATCCTGGAGGCTAACCAATAAGTGTCCCTCTAATTAAACCAATAAGTGTCTTTGGCTAATGATCTGACCAAAAGCCAAGGGCAAACTCTCCATTTCAGAGTTGATCTAGTAGACTCCACAGGTGCATAACTCTGCCCCTCACCTCATCTTTTGTATTCTGATTAATGTCCCTGGATATTTACCTAAAGAGTCCCCTCATTCGTGCTCTCTGTGCTGCCTGTTTTGGCATTTTCTTTCCCTAGAAACTCCCAACGTTTGGGTGAACCACCATCTACTCTGGCTAAAAACTATAATAGTAAACAGACCCAAATCTCAGTCTTCCTGTCCCCACCTTTGGCCACCCGACCTCCAGCAGGCATCGTAGGGATGTCTAAATGGGCCTCTAGGAGGGAGGTCTCGCCTACTCTGGAAGTACTCAGCCCCCAGGAAACACACGCCTGGGCGGGAGAGCAAGAGTCTGCCTCGGTCTCTGGGACTGTCCTCTGCTCTCACAGGTATTCTCTCTCTCCTTTTCAGAACTGCTGAGCCCCAATCTTCTCGCAACCATCCACTGTGCAAAAAAGATTGTGTCCAGAGCAGGGGGGATGAAGAACTGGTGAGGAGGACACTGTAGGACTAAGTTAGCGGGCAGAGTCCCAACAAGGGTGTGGTGACAGGGAAAGGGGCAGTAGGCAAGGACCAGACCTTTTCTGCAGTCTAGACCAGTGTGGGACAGTGGCAGGGCTTGGAACTCTGACTTGAAGACCTGGGATCTAGTTCTTTCTCTGATATTAAAGAAAAGTCTTTTGGCTGCAGTAACAAAACAACCTGAGCTAGCTGAGGGAGAGTTGATCTGAGAAGACTCGGTGACTTGCTGAACCCACAGAAGGGGTGCAGCTGGGCCTCAGGAACACGGTGGAAGTTGGGCTGGAAATTGGCAGGTTTCTGCTTCTCTTGGTGCATTTGCTTCACTACTCTCTCTGCAGACCAGCCTTCTCTGCTCCAGGTCTACAAGACAGACTATGCCGCCTACGTTTAGGGTCTAACATCCTAAGCAACCACTGGGACTGGCTAAGCCCAGGCCCCGTCTAAGTGCCTGGGATAGAGAATCCGATTGGCTCAGCTTCGACCCCATGTGCCCACTTGGTTCACCTCTGCAGACCAGCCTTTTCTGCTCCCAGTCTAGACAGACTATGCTGCCTACGTTTATGGTCTAACATCCTAAGCAACCACTGAGACTAGCTAAGCCCAGGCCCCATCTAAATGCCTGGGAAAGAGAATCCAATTGGCTCAGCTTCGACCCCATGTGCCCACTTGGTTCAATCAGCTGTAGACAGGGGAACAATTAAAATAATGCAATCATGGCTGCCACAGGGTTTCTCTCTTCATCACTGGAAGCAACATTTTCTATAAAAATGTGTTGCTCATCATCTGGCAGTCACCCCCAAAGTTGTCAGCTTACCAACACTGGACGTTGGGATGGTTACTTAACTTTTCTGAGCTTTAAACTGGATACATAAATAATGTAAAAGGCTGCCTCTGCAGGCAGCTGTGAGGATGGAAGGAGTTAAATGCCTTGCATACTCTAAAAATGCCTTGCAAAACAAGGGGCATGATGACTGTTAGGGCTGAGCCTTTCTGGAGGGAGAGTCAATGGTTGCACCTGGGATATTTATCTATTAGTAACTCTCAGCCCGTAAAACAGTGTTCTCCTCCTTCAGAAAGAGAGAAGGATTTTAAAATGTCAAAGCACACTGACTGGGGGGAAAGTACAAATACCGTGGACAAAGGAAACTTAAAGGAAGAATCAGAGGGGCCGCAGAAAGATAGATGAGAGAGCTAGGCATGAAGTTGCTCTGCGTGGAAGACTCACTAAGAGCTGGGTCACGTGTGTGGGAAGCAAGAACCAGTCTTTTTCTCTCCACAGGGCAGAATGGTCGATACACTGTGCCGGCCGGCCACTCTCCTACTGGGTAACAGGATGTCACATGGGATGAGGCAGGGTGCAGGCCTGCTGTGGAGTCATTCTAAAACTCCTCTCCTCCCATGGGGATTCTGCCTCTTGCCTCCACTTCATGTTATTTTCTTCCCTTCATATTTACAAATAAAACTGACCAGAGCCCCAGGAATAAATGGTTTTCTCGGGCTTACTCCTTGTTCCCATCCAGGCCCAGGACCCCGGCTGCTGATTGTCATTTGTAAACCAAGAGGACCACAATGAAGATGTTTCTGTATTTTGGGAATTATTAAAACATTCTTTGTGCAAAGAATGTGTTAAGTATTCATGATTAATTCCACATATCTGAGAGCATCTAATATAGTTGGAGTATGTTAGGTACTAGAAGAAGGAAGATGAAACCTAACCATTGTTCTTGAGGTGTTCATAATCTAGGTGGAGAAGCAGAGACACACAGGAATAATGGATGCACAAATGAATGGATACATACATTCTAGCCCCTTCTCCCAAAGCACCCCCACATCAATGGCACCTAGCACCATTTCTCCACTCCACCACCACTTTCTTCACCTTAGTACACCTGACTCTTAGCCCCACCCATTACCAACTTCTAAGCCTTTTCTTACTTCAAAAATAGTTGGCTGTGGAGGAAATACTGGGGTCCTGATACTGTTTCAAGCCAGTAATTATAGATTTTATTCTCCATTTCGTTATCTGTTGTATCCTCCATTCTCTCCTACTGACAGAGGATGACAGAGGTGGGATGATGAACCAAGCTTGTTGGTCGGACAGATCCAAATTCTCATCGCCACCTTTGGGACAAAAGGTGGTAAACAGATAAATAAATAGCTATATACAGTGGTATTCTAGCAAAGGTCTAACAACCAGTACCCAAAAAGAAAACTCCTCTCCTCCCTAATTTGTAACCTTTGACGATGTTAGTGATGTAAGTACTTCCCCACCATGAATGTCTTCAAGCCACCAACCTGCTATCACTAAATGACACGTTGGGAAGAGATGGGCTAATAGAACCTAGTGGAGGCACCATGGGATGGTTCCCTCAACGCCGGGTAGTGATACATGCCATAAAGAAAAAGAAAGCCCAGTACTCTTAGAGAGAGTAGCCAGGAAACGCCTTTCTGAGGCTGTAAAAGGCAGGCAGACTACCATCCATTGCACATCTGAAGGTGGAAGCTGCACGCGCCTCCTCCTAGCGCCAAACGGATTTACGACTTAGACGAACCAACCTGAACAGCCAACTGAAGCCCAGCTGAACACAAGTGTTATAACCAACGATTTACAGAAGAAGCCACATAGACACTGAATAATATTGAATGTAAACTGTAATTGAAAAAAAACTTAAAAAAAATGGTCCTCTCTATATAAACTAAATGTCATTCCCTCTGACAGATGAGAAACTAGGGACAATGTTCTGAGACCCAACCTGGGAAGACATTTGACATGGAAACTCAGGAGAGGGGAACAGGGTGGAGAGACTGCCTTGCAAAACAAGGGGCATGATGACTGTTAGGGCTGAGCCTTTCTGGAGGGAGAGTCAATGGTTGCACCTGGGATATTTATCTATTAGTAACTCTCAGCCCGTAAAAGAGTGTTCTCCCCCTTCCGAATGAGATAAGGATTTTAAAATGTCAAAGCATACTGACTGGGGGGAAAGTACAAATACCGTGGACAAGGGAAACTTAAAGAATCAGAGGGGCCGCAGAAAGATAGATGAGAGAGCTAGGCACGAAGTTGCTCTGCGTGGAAGACTCACTAAGAGCTGGGTCACGTGTGTGGGAAGCAAGAACCAGTCTTTTTCTCTCCACAGGGCAGAATGGTCGATACACTGTGCCGGCCGGCCACTCTCCTACTGGGTAACAGGATGTCACATGGGATGAGGCAGGGTGCAGGCCTGCTGTGGAGTCATTCTAAAACTCCTCTCCTCCCATGGGGATTCTGCCTCTTGCCTCCACTTCATGTTATTTTCTTCCCTTCCCATTTACAAATAAAACTGACCAGAGCCCCAGGAATAAATGGTTTTCTCGGGCTTACTCCTTGTTCCCATCCAGGCCCAGGACCCTGGCTGCTGATTGTCATTTGTAAACCAAGAGGACCACAATGAAGATGTTTCTGTATTTTGGGAATGATTAAAACATTCTTTGTGCAAAGAATGTGTTAAGTATTCATGATTAATTCCACATATCTGAGAGCACTTAATATAGGTGGAGTATGTTAGGTACTAGAAGAAGATGAAACCTAACCATTGTTCTTGAGGTGTTCATAATCTAGGTGGAGAAGCAGAGACACACAGGAATAATGATGCACAAATGAATGGATACATACATTCTAGCCCCTTCTCCCAAAGCACCCCCACATCAATGGCACCTAGCACCATTTCTCCACTCCACCACCACTTTCTTCACCTTAGTACACCTGACTCTTAGCCCCACCCATTACCAACTTCTAAGCCTTTTCTTACTTCAAAAATAGTTGGCTGTGGAGGAAATACTGGGGTCCTGATACTGTTTCAAGCCAGTAATTATAGATTTTATTCTCCATTTCGTTATCCATCATATCCTCCATTCTCTCCTACTGATAGAGGATGACAGAGGTGGGATGATGAACCAAGCTTGTTGGTCGGACAGATCCAAATTCTCATCGCCACCTTTGGGACAAGAGGTGGTAAACAGATAAATAGCTATATACAGTGGTATTCTAGCAAAGGTTTAACAACCAGTACCCCAAAAGAAAACTCCTCTCCTCCCTAATTTGTAACCTTTGACGATGTTAGTGATGTAAGTACTTCCCCACCATGAATGTCTTCAAGCCACCAACCTGCTATCACTAAATGACACGTTGGGAAGAGATGGGCTAATAGAACCTAGTGGAGGCACCATGGGATGGTTCCCTCAACGCCGGGTAGTGATACATGCCATAAAGAAAAAGAAAGCCCAGTACTCTTAGAGAGAGTAGCCAGGAAACGCCTTTCTGAGGCTGTAAAAGGCAGGCAGACTACCATCCATTGCACATCTGAAGGTGGAAGCTGCACGCGCCTCCTCCTAGCGCCAAACGGATTTACGACTTAGACGAACCAACCTGAACAGCCAACTGAAGCCCAGCTGAACACAAGTGTTATAACCAACGATTTACAGAAGAAGCCACATAGAGACTGAATAATATTGAATGTAAACTGTAATTGAAAAAAAACTTAAAAAAAATGGTCCTCTCTATATAAACTAAATGTCATTCCCTCTGACAGATGAGAAACTAGGGACAATGTTCTGAGACCCAACCTGGGAAGACATTTGACATGGAAACTCAGGAGAGGGGAACAGGGTGGAGAGACGAAACAGGTGGATTTACTCTCTCTCTCCCACTCCCATGGCTCCCTCGCGGTTGGGGGAAGCGAGAACACAGGCCCGTTTGGCAGGAAATGAAGAAAGTCTAGTCCGCTCAAGCCTGTGATCTAATATAGTTGGAGTATGTTAGGTACTAGAAGAAGGAAGATGAAACCTAACCATTGTTCTTGAGGTGTTCATAATCTAGGTGGAGAAGCAGAGACACACAGGAATAATGGATGCACAAATGAATGGATACATACATTCTAGCCCCTTCTCCCAAAGCACCCCCACATCAATGGCACCTAGCACCATTTCTCCACTCCACCACCACTTTCTTCACCTTAGTACACCTGACTCTTAGCCCCACCCATTACCAACTTCTAAGCCTTTTCTTACTTCAAAAATAGTTGGCTGTGGAGGAAATACTGGGGTCCTGATACTGTTTCAAGCCAGTAATTATAGATTTTATTCTCCATTTCGTTATCCATCATATCCTCCATTCTCTCCTACTGATAGAGGATGACAGAGGTGGGATGATGAACCAAGCTTGTTGGTCGGACAGATCCAAATTCTCATCGCCACCTTTGGGACAAGAGGTGGTAAACAGATAAATAGCTATATACAGTGGTATTCTAGCAAAGGTTTAACAACCAGTACCCCAAAAGAAAACTCCTCTCCTCCCTAATTTGTAACATACATTCTAGCCCCTTCTCCCAAAGCACCCCCACATCAATGGCACCTAGCACCATTTCTCCACTCCACCACCACTTTCTTCACCTTAGTACACCTGACTCTTAGCCCCACCCATTACCGACTTCTGAGCCTTTTCTAACTTCAAAAATAGTTGGCTGTGGAGGAAATACTGGGATCCTGATACTGTTTCAAACCAGTAATTATAGATTTTATTCTCCATTTCGTTATCCATCATATCCTCCATTCTCTCCTACTGATAGAGGATGACAGAGGTGGGATGATGAACCAAGCTTGTTGGTCGGACAGATCCAAATTCTCATCGCCACCTTTGGGACAAGAGGTGGTAAACAGATAAATAGCTATATACAGTGGTATTCTAGCAAAGGTTTAACAACCAGTACCCCAAAAGAAAACTCCTCTCCTCCCTAATTTGTAACCTTTGACGATGTTAGTGATGTAAGTACTTCCCCACCATGAATGTCTTCAAGCCACCAACCTGCTATCACTAAATGACACGTTGGGAAGAGATGGGCTAATAGAACCTAGTGGAGGCACCATGGGATGGTTCCCTCAACGCCGGGTAGTGATACATGCCATAAAGAAAAAGAAAGCCCAGTACTCTTAGAGAGAGTAGCCAGGAAACGCCTTTCTGAGGCTGTAAAAGGCAGGCAGACTACCATCCATTGCACATCTGAAGGTGGAAGCTGCACGCGCCTCCTCCTAGCGCCAAACGGATTTACGACTTAGACGAACCAACCTGAACAGCCAACTGAAGCCCAGCTGAACACAAGTGTTATAACCAACGATTTACAGAAGAAGCCACATAGACACTGAATAATATTGAATGTAAACTGTAATTGAAAAAAAACTTTTAAAAAATGGTCCTCTCTATATAAACTAAATGTCATTCCCTCTGACAGATGAGAAACTAGGGACAATGTTCTGAGACCCAACCTGGGAAGACATTTGACATGGAAACTCAGGAGAGGGCAACAGGGTGGAGAGACGAAACAGGTGGATTTACTCTCTCTCTCCCACTCCCATGGCTCCCTCGCGGTTGGGGGAAGCGAGAACA